ATTCCAGCATCAGGGTCTGGGCTGGAGCAGTACATCATGACTCTCCAGCAGCTGTGCAACCTCCAGACAGCACCCCTGCCTGGACTCGCTCCTGTCCTGGCTTATGGTCTAGCTCCCACTGGAAGGCAGGCTCTGTGGTCCTGGGTGTCCCTGTATGTGTCATCACTGTGCATGAGCCAGGCCCTTTATTTCCACATCTGCACAGTGGGACCCCCCCCAACCACACCCTGGTATCCTGAGAGTGGGCAGAACCCCCACCCAGGGCTACAGGTCATTGAGCTAATGTCTGCGTGGGAGATTGGGGGCTGGACCTTTGGTTTTGTTCAAAAAATGTGTGTGTGTGTGTGTGTGTGTGTGTGTGTGTGTGTGTCTGTGTGTGTGTGTGTGTGTGTGTGTGTGATTTTGGTGGCGCGCGGAGGGGGGGTGGGGCCAGCAGGTGGCTTGGTGGTTACAGTGCTGGACTCCCACGTGGCCAACCATGGTTCTAGTTCCAGGCACAGTGGCTTGAAAATCACACAGGGCATGTGTGCATGTGTGTCCAAAATCCCAAGAGGAGAGTGGAGTCAAGGGATTGCAGAATGGCCATTCCCCCAGGGGGTGATTTCTCACTTTCCCTCTTCTGTGTCTTTCAGGTAAGTGCACACGCCCTATGGCAAAACAGAAAAAAAAAAAAAGTGTTACTGTTTTCCTTATAAAGATGACACACTAATGTAACAATTTCCAAGGACCTTGTTGATTTTAAATACATCCTTTGGGGCCAGCAGATGGTGTAGCAGTTACTCGTTGGACTCTCACATGGCCAACCACAAGTTGAGCCCCAGACCCAATGGTTTGAAACTCACTCCAGGCACATGTGTATCTATGCCCAAGATCCCAGGAGGAGAATAGAAGAGAAGGGATTGTGGTATGGCCTCCCTCCCTCCCCGGAGGTGATTTCTCACTTTCCTTCTCACTATCTCTGACCCTCACTCTCTCCAGCGAATGTGCATGCCCTGAGGCAAATAATAATAATAATAATATCCCTTGCATAAAGACACCACAACTTTACATAAATCTATAATAGCGCTCCCAAACTCCATTTTAATGAAAAGGAGCTAGGGCGTTAATTTTCACAGAAGGATTCACAATGGGCTGTCTTTAAATAGCCTGGCACGCTCTGAGACCGCGGCAGTCACAAACGCTGTATGTGCCAGCTTTCCCACACCAGCTACGACTGCGGGCCTCTACAGGCAGAGTTTGCAGCGGCTTCTGGGGCTCCCTCCCAAGCCTGGGGCTACATGTGCATGTAGAGCTCCTTGAGAGCGCTCGGGCACGTTACTTTAATCCCTGGGAGAAAGATGACACGCAGGCAAGCAGGACCTGCCGTCCTCAGAGCATGCCTTCTGAAGCCCTGGAGGAGCATCAGAGGAGAGCCACAGTAAAATGATTTCTGTCCCCACAGCCAATGTTCCAGACAGCGGCCGAGAACCTCTCAGTGCTCAGTGCTTGGGTAAAAATAGTTGGGGACCAGCAGGCGACATAGAGGTTAGGCTCCAGGTCCCACTTGGCCCACTGCACAGTTTGGGCCACTAGTTTGGGCACTAGATCCCACATGGCCCGACCCAGTGCCGGGCGCATGTGCATGCAGACCCAAAGTCTCAAGAGGAGACTGGAGAAGGGACAGTGGCACAGCCATCCCCTAGGGCAGGGGGTGCTTCCTCACATTCTCTCTCTCTCTCTCTCTCAGTCTCTCTCTGGAGAGTGCATGTGCCCGATAGCAAACACAAACAAAAACACAGTTTCTTTACACTCCTGCTGGAGTGTACATATGCTTTTAAAAAAAAACCAGAGTCAAATTGGGGGTTTAGAAATAGAACTTATTTGGATGTTTTGAAAGAGACACGTCATCTCCGGTTCTGCATTTGCAACTTCCTGGCAGCTTGAGTCCACATGCCGCAGGGCAGAACCAGATTTCAAAGGTAGGAGAGAATCTCACTGAGAGCTTGGCTTTCCAAAGACCCTCTGCAGTCTTAGGGTCTAGCTCCCACTGGAAGGCAGGCTCTGTGGTCCTGGGTGTCCCTGTATGTGTCATCACTGTGCGTGAGCCAGGCCCTTTATTTCCACGTCTGCACAGTGGGACCCCCCAACCACACCCTGGTATCCTGAGAGTGGGCAGAACCCCCACCCAGGGCTACAGGTCATTGAGCTAATGTCTGCGTGGGAGATTGAGGGCTGGACCTTTGGTTTTGTTCAAAAAATATGTCTGTGTGTGTCTATGTGTGTGTGTGTGTGTGTGTGTGTGTGTGTGTGTTATTGTTGGGGCCAGCAGGTGGCTTGGTGGTTACAGTGCTGGACTCCCACATGGCCAACCATGGTTCTAGTTCCAGGCACAGTGGCTTGAAAATCACACAGGGCATGTGTGCATGTGTGTCCAAAATCCCAAGAGGAGAGTGGAGTCAAGGGATTGCAGAATGGCCATTCCCCCAGGGGGTGATTTCTCACTTTCCC